CAGCAATGCGACGTACACTGTGGTATGTAAAATTATATCATGTCTCTTGTTCCAAGCGACTTCTCAAACCAATTCTGGTACAGTCCTCAGGCCGGATCCATCGCGCGGGTCGTCGTTTGTTGACCTCTGGGCTATACTGTCAGCGAAACATTTAGTATCCTCGCATGTGTCAGCTACAGAGCGCCCTCCCAAATAGGGTTTTTTACGCCCACACGTTATACTTTTTTAAAAAATGCCGACGTTGCACTAGCACACATACATTACGAAATGTAACCTGTGTGTATCCGTAGACGAAATAATGTGACAGACGTTGCACAACCAGCACTAAACAACACAATCACGTTTGGCCCTTTTATGCAGTTGTAGACGTTCGAGCATAGCTGATAACATTTGCAAATTTTCAACATTTGCACGTTCTGTGATTAGAATGTCGTCAAGAAAGGCGCACGTTCGACCACCAGTGCCTTCGTAATTTAGCTCACATCTGGTGGGAACACCGCTTGAGCAACGAGCGTGTTCCACGCATTGTTTACGGCACAGGAAAAGGGATTCAACCGCTCAGCACCGTCATTTCACGCACCAGGCTCCGATGGCTCGGCCACGTGTTATGCATGCCAGCCCACCTACTCCCGCGACGTGCGTTGTTTGCGCGCCGGTGGTGTGGATGGAATAAGAAGAGGGGTGGCCAAGCGATGACTTGGTAGAGAGGAACGAAGGCCCTCACTTCTGAGCTGGCCTCGGTTGGAGCGTCTCGGCTCCCTGGTTGGGGTCCGAAAGACGATGAGCACGTTTGGTTGGACACCCTTGCTGATATGGTTAGGAGCCGACCTCAGTGGCGTTCATGCTGTGAGTTCCTTTGTCCTACCCCACCCCTCTTAGCCTCCCCCTCCAACCATAATCTCATTATTTAGCTTTATATAATTTCGCATAGTATTTTTTTGATGCACGGTAGCCGATTGGTAGCTTACCGGAACGATACCCATCCGTTATCGGTAGCTCAGCCGGCTTACACCAGTTGCTTTTTTCTACTTTTTCTGTGTATCGCAGCACAGTAGCTGAGGTGTTCCCCGCCTCTAGCTAACGTGTATGATGATGATGATGAAGAAGAAAGGCGCACGTGAAAGGAATATCTTTGATCAGGTTGTCGATAATCATTTGGAATATCTCTGGAGAGGAACTGATTCTGAAGTGAAGGCGTTTGTACTGGAATAGACCCATGTGTGTACTCATGGCAGTGCATGAGCGAGAGGTCTCGTCTAACCCAATTTGTAAGTACGCGTGACTTAGGTCAACCTGTGTAGACTTTTGTCCGCCTGTCAGCGTAGAATACAAATCCTCTACTCGAGGTTAGGGATACTTATTCAGAATTAAACAACGATTAACAGTTAGTGTATAATCACCACAAATACGCACAGAACCATCCAGTTTCAGGACTGAAACTATTGGAGCTCTCCAGTCACTGTATTAGACTGGCTCGATTGTTCCTGCTGATTGCAATCTATTTATCTCGTCTTCCAATTTTGATATCAAGGCAAAGATAAGATACTTGTTCTGAAAAACCGGGGCAGTGTTCCCTGTCGTAATGTGATACTAGCCTGATATCTGTGCAATTGTTCTGGTTTCTCACCAAAACATCAGAATATTTGTTGAGCACATCATCCAAGCGCTGGTTACTGGACATTAATTCCACAGTCTCTAGCGTGGGCGAAAGGCTTTAATCCAGTTGCAACGGAGTAAGTTTGGACAATCATCCGCCACAATATATGCCTGTTAGGTCCGCTTCTCCCCATGGAAATTTACATAAACTGTGCGTTTTCCCATTAGTGGTATCGGCTGCCCAGTGTACGTAGGCAAAATTGATTCACAAGGAATAATTTGGGTAATCTTTTTACTGAGGAAGAACTGGTTATGGTAACTGAGGCACTGGTATCAACTTCCATTTTAACCAACTGGCCTTCTAACTCCAATTGCACAGTGAATGCAGCAGATGTTCGAGATTGCGTTCCAGATCCTGTTTAGGTAATCTTTTTCGTCTGAAGTCTGGAAGACCTTCACGGGCTTCTTAGGAAAATGCGATCCGGCAGCTGTTCAAGTTTTAGATCGGAAAACGGGTTAAGTGTCATAATTTTCCACATTGGCTGTAGATACTACGTTTATGACGACATTCCTCGGCTGATAAATACTGACTTCCACATCGGTAACATGTGGAGGGTAATTCGGACCGTCTCGAAGTAACACATTTTCGGTCGACTGCTTGGATCGTGTCTGTAGGAGGTTGCGAGGAAAAAGCTGCTAAATATTTATAGACATTCGCCGGCTGTCGAGCAATATTGCAGGAGGTCTCCTAGCTAATCGTCGTCTCATCTGCCGACAACGGCGTTTCACGAGCCTGTTCGTTACGGTTACCGGATATCAAGCACTGTAAAGCCATCGCTGCTTCGAACTTCGTAACAGGGATTTCACTATACTGATACTCTGGTACGGCTTGCTGAATCCGCGCAATTCAATCAATGACACATTCTTCAAGATTTTGGCGCACGGCCGAGAAAGAATAGTGCGCAGTTTATGTGTTTAGTCGTGAAACCCATAACGCACTGAGGACTTCTGGAGTACTGTTGGCTGTCTCCTCACTGACATAGATGGCATCAACATGTCTTTGGCCTTGGTTCTCCAGAAACGCTCTCAATAGATTAATTTTGTGGCTTTTTGAGAGTACCTTGTTTGGTTGCAATACGGGTAGCAGCTACAAATAATCCAAAAAAGTGCGCTTCAAGCGGCTCCATTTGGCCGGTGATGGTTTTGCAGAAGGAATATTTCGAGCAATGTAAGAAGGTGCAACATCGCAGTAGTTTAATCTCGTCGCCAGAACGTTAAGTCTGGTCCTTAGCTAATGAACGGAACAGAATGCGCACGCATAGTATGGAACCGATTTACTAAAAGATTCCCGCGTTACAGTGGATAGAATAGCCGGAAAGAAAAACAAATGCAATAAGGAACGTTGGGCAAGGTCACTGGCAACCAATCATGTAAGTGTCTATGTTCACGAATCGATGCTCAGGTGCATAAGCGATAGATATCTTCTTTTGCATAGATTGAATCAACATGTGCTTTTATTGTGCGTGTTACATTAGAAGCATCTGCATTCTTCTTTCCAATATTTAGCCGGTGATTCTGTCCGACAAACTCCGCAGTTGCCCGCTGCTTAAGGCCTGCATTATAGCGGTAAACGCTTCTCATTCGCTGAGAACTTGTATTTGTCAGTCCTAAGAATCTTGGTTGATTGCAGGTAACCAAGGAAACTGCAGGTTTAGTATGAGTTCTCTCCGATGGAGTGCGGATTACTAACAACCTACCTAAGAGAAGGTGCCAAAACAAGACTGCGCCAAGCGTCTAAAAGCGCTTTCTTAACATGGTAGCACCGCTTGAAGAGTCTATATCCCTCATGAGAGCAGCGAGAGGCCCTATATCCTTAGATTAGCGCTATTACAAAGTGAGGTCTCAAAACGTTACAACAGAAACGTCACTTTTTGTCAGGATATTTTCATCACCTAATTTTACACTTTGTTACCATATCGCTACACATTACCCACAACGCTGTGCCGGTGTTGCTTACATTAGTGATGTTAGTGATTTTCAGTACGCTTTGTGTGTTTATGCGTTTTAGCGCTTGAGAGGTACACCTTTAAAATTGTATTTAATATATCATCATGCATCACCATAACCTTAACCAATAAAAATCACAGGTGGTAATTATAATATGTCTGCTGGAGTTCATTTGTACAAACCTCCAATTTGGATTACAACAGCCATGTTTTAAGTGCAGCCGGTTTTGGCTGAAACAGGAACCTTCCCTAGTTACTGTTCGTTTAAGAAATGCATCGCTTTTACTGCTATCATGTTTTGAAATGCCTATATCGGAAAAGTACAAACAACTTGCAGTATTCAGCTTTTTGTGCATAGTTGGAGAATACAGCGCAAGTAATGTGACAGCGGATATGAGCGATGATTTCATAGGTTGCTATCAGGGACACAAAAGTCGGTAGATTATCGTATGCCAAAATCTGTGACATTGCAGCGTTGCACTGGTTTTTGACAAGTATTCTTGTCATGAAGTTCTAAGAGTACGTGTTCGTATCGGAAATGGAGCTATCGGCAAATGTAACTTGCAGGTAGGTGCTACCGGAGAGGAAAATTCTTATAGGAAGCTGTAGTTTTCTCAGCTCACTTTTGACTAAAGGAACATATTAGCCCACACAATAGAGGCGGCACGACATGAAGGCATTCAAGTCTACTGAGAATTTGAATGACTAGCTGGCTAGGGGTTCATTGACTGGAATTTGGACGCATTGTAACGGATTTCGGATTCCGCGAAGTTTTCTAAATGTCACACATACATAAAGCGACTCTGAAAGCAAACAACGGTCACAGAGGGTTGATGAATTACATCATTGCACTATTTGATATCTATTACCTAAAAGCAGCATGCGTCAAAAACACTGAATGCTGCGGAAACATTTTAACACTAATATCTTTCAGATTTCCAGCAACTTTTAGTTAACACGGGGACAAATGGCATTCATGAATGTCCAAAATCTACTTTGCTGCGTCATATTTGTTTAACTAATGCACATCGAAACCGAAGCGTGAACCATTGATTAATCACCATACATCTATTCTAAGAAAGTATTCAGGGTTCTAACAAACGAAACTCAGAAAAATTGCTAGTAATTTAAAGGTTACTGAGATCTATTTACTTATTAAAATATGTTGTTCATAAGATCTCTAACACAGGTATTGTTCAGAGAGATGTTTCGTATCTATGAATAGGTGGCTTTAAGGTAGGGGGCGAACACAGCGGAAAGAAGCATGGCTACTTTTTTACAATTATTGTATTCACAGGCATTTACTTCTTTTACATAATTCTCAGATTATATGTCAAAGAATTACAAAGCGCATCGTCATGGATTTTGCAAAGTTATGTACAATGAACTGGCCACCCTTTACTGCTCAACCAACACAGTCCCCGTCGATGTAGACCCACGAGACAGCACGCTACTCAAGCGACTTCGTGTTTTAACAATAGATCCAACAGCTCCGCTTTGCCTCGCGCTTCCTGGACGCGATGTACTGGCAGATCCAGGTGGGACCACAATAGAGGAGCGAGGATTTGTCGGTCCAGAAGCATTTTGGACAGCAGCTGTGGAATTCTTTCCGCCAGTTTTACCACGCTTCGGCAATGAGAGCTGAGATTTTGGGGATCTCATCCGATGCAAGGCCTTGGTTATGACCTAGCAATGATGGAAATTTGATGCGGGAAAATGGGTTCAGCGGTATATCGAAGCGAAAATAGAGAAGTAACTTTTATAAGAAAAGTGCGGGCATTTCATCCGCCAATAATGCTGAAGGTCTTTTGCTTTCGGACAACGAAATCCAACAAATCTGTAAACCGTAATTTAATATGCGTTTTAGTGTTAAATTATGGTCTGTTCTAAGTTGTAAACATGGGTTTAAGGTACATCGCTTGGGGAATAAAACCTTAAAGCTGGTTACGTAAACGAAGGAGCAAAATGATACCCCCATTGGTGTTCCAAAGGGTGCAACAAAAATTAGAAAAGTACATTTGGAAGGATGCATAGTAAGTTTTGCAAATCACTTAGGAATATAGCATATTAAAGTTATTAATTATCTAAGGGAAATAAACGCTCACGTTAGCAGGCAAAGGAGTTTAGTTTCAACGAGAATCAGTTCAGTTGCTCACAAGCGGGTGGCTATACAATATGTTGGCAATGATAGCAAGCATTCGTGTTCTTGGATCTACGGCCTGATGTTGTTGCAGCTAAAATGCTCCGATACGCTGCCACAAATCGATGGCGTCCGGGGCTGTTGAATTTTATGGAAGATCCGGTATGGTATATGTAAAGTACATACAAGTACGATGGTATATAAAATTTTGGATTGCCTAGAAGGAGCCAAATTTTATTCTGGTTCTCCTCTTACGTGCTTATTCATCCGTGCAAATTCAGTAGTGAAAAACGTCTAGGAATTATTGCTTCCAACGCTTTTACCAAAGCGGGGCTCTAGTATACCTAATATTTCCTTATGTGGGCTACTCTTGCAATTATTTGTGTGTTTATATAAAAAGGACTACTGTTATCAGGCCGTGATTACCTAGTAATATACTTCCTAGGAAATAGTACCTTGGCTAATATAGCAAAACTTGTTATAAACATAGGTATTATTTAATAATAGGCGCTAATATGTCCAGATGCCGTGAGATATTCAAACAGGTTTATTTGCTTGAAATCATTTAACCGAAGCTAATAGAACCTGGGTGTTGCTCGCCTGAAAACAACGCACTAATATGACGCATTCCGATGTTATTACATCTCATCAAACAGAGTTAACAGGCATCGAACCCAGGACCATTAGTCTCGGTTTGTCTGCACTTTAATGATACACTTCTGAGTCCTGGGACGTTTGTACATATCACTGTTAAAGCCTTTTGGCTGCATAGTAATTGTTTGTTCTGCAATTCTTTGTGAGCGGAGGTTTGTCCAGTGGGGGTGTCTGGCTTCTCTTCCGTGGAAGAGAGGTCAAGGCTACAGCAAGCATTTTACGTGCAACGCCGTCTGTTCTAATAAATGTATGAGCCAAGTTTGTTGCCCAACTAACGCCGGAGGTGATCGTGCAATCAGTGCATAACATTGTATGCTTAGAAGCATTTCTTGAGACTTGGGAAATCGTTCAACGTGCTTTGGAGATACCATTCGAATGAGCTCCTTCAATACTACCAGACAATATATGCATTAGTACTGTGCATCACTGTATAACATAGCCACAGGCTTTTTGGTCTTCTCACATTACCACCGTATTGTTACGTGCATTTCACTGCAAAAAGCGTGTGTGATTTTGGCTACCCGTGCGCTTAGTGAAGTACCACTACCAAACCCGTTGACCGCAGCAGACAACTGAGGCAACCCAAAACGGCGTGACCGATACAACCTAAATGTGCATACGAAAAATTGAGCCATGGGCTGGAGAAGATTGTCCACCGGGAATACAGTGAGCAACGAACCCAAGGTTAATAATAGCCCAGACAAGCGAGGAACAGAGAGCATATGGAAAATCACGTGTTTGTCCTGTTCCAATTCCTATGACAACAAACGTGAGCATTAGATATAACGGAGGTAACAGCGTATCGATAGATTGCGATTGTGATTTATGTTCAGATCGTCGTATAATTAAGATTGATCGAACGCTTACGATAATGTGTGAAATGTTACTTCGGCAGAGCAAATGGAACTAATAGCGGTATTGGGAGGGAAAATCTCTGAATTAGGGTTGGAATCTAATGCACTACCTAGTCCAAATCTTAGATCTGTTTAAAGGCAGAAGCTCTCTAGCAGAATTGCTATACAGTCCAGCGAAAAGCAACACCATTAGTGACATAAAGCAGTGAATTCCGGCCAGTTAAACGGTCCCAAAAGTCCCAAGAATTGCTGCTATGCGTGCAGCGATATGCACAATTTGCATGAGCACTTCCATCATTAGCTGGGCAACAACACTTGACTCACAGTTGTTACAACTAACGGCGCTGCACAAGAACTGTCTTATTGTGACAAGGACCTGTCTTCCACGGAAGCGAAGCAAGACAGTCCCACACGACAAACCTCCGCTCATAAGGAACTGCAGGACAAACAATTACAACGCAACCGAAAGGCGTTGACAATGATATGTTCAAACGTCCTAGAGCCTATCAGTGAACCAGTAAAAGGCAGAAAAACCGAGGAGAAAAGCCGCTGTGCTGAGATAAACTCTGCACACGGACTGAAAGTCCTCTTACTCGACTTTCACGAAATCCATCGTCTCCGCACGTTAAGAAAACTTGTTTACTGCGAGTAACATTTGGCAACACATGGGACATGGAACTTGTTCTCTTAGCAAGCCACATTCATGTGAACTCTTCTGCTAGTGCCCGCGATTTCCCGGACAATAAGTGGGCAGAAATGCAGAAGCAAAAATCAGACTCGAAAGTGTCACGACAAACGGAGACGAAGAAAATGGTACTGCTTCAAGGTGCAGCAGAACTAAAGCATGAAGATGACAGTGAACGACGAAAGCGCGATGTCGAAGAGTGCAGGTACATCACAGAACTCTACAACATGCAAAATGTCCTCGCTTTTGTGGTCACCAGTCTAGTTACCTCCTAAAGGTATTACGGCAACAGGTCAAGAATTTAAAAGTTATCTTGGCTACGGCCGAGATGGTAACGATGGTAATCCAAGCGTGGTGTGACAACAGGAAACTTGAGTCTCCAGAGTTATGCTTAGGACCATTTCTTCACTCGTTACAAACCCCAGTTACAGATGAGCTAATCCCGGTTGTTCCTACCTCAGACCCGTCAACAGTAAATACACACGTTTTCAAAGCGCCAGCGAACCGGCATTATTTATGCCGGTTACTCACAACGAAACGAGCTCCTACTTCGTCAACAAATGCAATGCTGCTGCACCAACGCTCAGAGCCTCTACTCTAAGCTGACAGAAGTGCGCCATCGACAGAACACCAAATTGCAACATCGTAGCAGTGACTGAAATGTGGCTTTCGAAAGACAAGCTAGATCGAGGAATTGAACTCAGTGAATGTCAGTCATTCAAATTGATCATCCATCTCGCGGTGCCGATGTTAGCATTTGCTATCGAGCTAACCATACACGTGAGGCCAGTACCGAATATTCCTTTTTTATTCATGACGTATTATTTTTCCGACTTTAGCTAGCAGGTATTGATGGTGGATAACAGAATAATACTCGTGATTCTTGCCTCTTAGGAGTTGTGTACAGGCCACCGAACTCGTTCGCAGACAGCGATGGCAATTTGTTGAACACTGTCCACTCTGCAGTTTCAAAAATAATCTACTTATAATGGGCGATCTCAAGGTACCTTCAATTGCCTCAGTGTCCCCTAATGGGTCATCATTTAAATCAAACTCCTTGAATTCATAGATCTGGCAGCTTTGTATAACCATGGGCATCGACCAACCAGACACCGCGGTGCAAACAAGCCGTTATTACTGGACTTAAGCTGGAGAAATGAAGGGTTGGTGGTTAACTCAGTCACAAACGACTCGTCTCTAATCAGCAGCGACCGTTCAGTCCCAACATTTGGTTTTATGTGTTATGCCAGTATGGTTGATAGAGAAGCAGAAAGCCATCGAAATATTATTGAGTATTCTATGCTTCACTACCCAGCGACAACCGTTGACTGGGGGCCTCCAGACTCACAATTCGGGGAACGAAGCATGGAATGAAATGAAAGGTAAACTTAACTGGGTCATACAAGCAACCTCGAAAGTTGTACGCTTAGAAGTATCAGACAGGACCAACAGTTGGATACGAATCAGAACATGGAAATGGATCAAAAGAGTAGATGATATTGAAGTAACATGCTAAGCCCATGTGTTAACTAACGGTAAATTTACAAAAGTAGCAGAAACTACTTCACGTCACTTATTAGGGCCGAAAAGTACGAATGACAGGAGAAGGTGGTACTCAAGTTGGCGAGTTAAAGTAAACTGCTATGCGGGTGTGTGAACGATAAAAGAAAGTTAAATCCTGGAATACTACCACTCAGGACGGCCAGTGGCTTAACGAATAATGCTGTGGATACCGCGAACGCTCTACTTCTGCAGTCTGTCTCGGTGGTTCCAAATACCATGGAACCGTTGCTCTATCAACTCCAAACAAATGCCGTCGGCTTATTCAGTCTCACATTTATTCCAGAGGTTGTCGTGTACAAATTACCCTCTCTCCGGATAAACAATGCCTCGGGAATAGACAAGATCTGCCCAAAGGTACTTAAAACTCCTACCCCAACCATAGCACTACACCACGTAGCGTTTTCCAGGGTCTGTTTGACTCCCATACACTCCTATCTAAATGAACCTGGAATCATCACTCCGATATACAAAGGAGGTAAAAGATCGGATCCTGCCAACTAGCGACCTATTGCTCTCATACCTGCTTTATCAAAAGTGACGGAATCGGTAATCGTGGATGAACTGTAGTGATATTTTGAGTTTGCAAATAACTTCCAACGTCCAACACGGTTTCAGACGCAGACGATCTTGCCTCAAGATCCATGGACCAGAACAGCCGAAGAAGCAGTCCCCTAGATGTGATTTACTTCGAATATTTTGGGCTTTCGGCAGGGTCAATCAGTTTGTTCTCCTGCAAATGCTTTGCTGCCTACGGTTTCAACGGTTCCTTGCTCACCTGGTTGGAAGGTTA